TGCCGTGGAGATCACCGATATAACAAATAGGGAGGGGTTGAGGAGGGGGTCAGTAAGGGGCGGCGAAGTGATGCAATTGTCATAAGCACTTTATACAAATACTCTTACCCAACCGCAGTACACCGCTGACAGCCCGCGTTCCATTTGCGCATCGTACGCATCGTGCCTACCTAACGCACACCACTTTCAAGTGCGGCGCCAATGATCCCATTGGTTAGCCGCTTGGCGGTTCAGGTTTACTCGCCCCGGCGGTCAATCACATCACGTCCCCGGCCAGCCCTCATTTGATTGGTCATTGCCTACGGTTTTCCCTATTTGCGCGCCATCCTCCCCCTATTTTTGACTTCATTAAAACAAAAATTTATTTTCCTTCGATTTTCAACATTTTTCGGCTTCCAACTGCCTATTTAGTTCGCTTTGCCGTTTGCCCCGCCCGTTCTTCCCCTCAAAACCGCCATCCCGTTGTACCCGACCCACCTAGAGAGGATTTCTCACTGTGGCTGCCTGTTGGGCTTCTGCCATCTTACGGTTTAAAAAAACTCTTCTATCTCCAACTGCAATGGGTGGGCTAACTCATGAAATCTCAACCGAAATCGTTTTTAGTTTCGAAACGATCAATTAAGTAGAGTTGCAGAACTACTAGTCGTGCAGCGTTATTCTATAATAATTCAGTTACCCCGAAATGCCGGCTCGTTTGGTAGAAAATTACGTGTTCTTCCAATTTTATTTTCAAAGGAAGGGCATAAATCGGTTTGCAATTACTTTTCCAATTCCCCAATACTTTTGAACTCCGGCCTGCCGTTACACTTGCATTAGGGAGCAATTTTGAACAACCAGGTACGATGTCATTCTAAAAGACACTGAAGAGTCTTAAAAATCTCATAATTATTAACTTCATGTGAACCGAAGAATACCCTTTTTGAATATACAGTTCGAAGAAGACGTGATTTACTGCTAAGTGAGTACATGCAAGAGTATTTTTTTTCATGGTTTCTGCAAAATATTTTTGACATTTTAGGGGCATCAAAAGTCGGTAGAGAAAATTCACCATAAATAAGTTCGTTTTTGCAGGTGGCCGCAAAGAAGTGCATTCAAAAGCCAACACCCTGGCGACTCTTAATGTCAAAGGGCAATGCTACAGGATAATTACCACTGCGCCCTTACTCAATTAGAGTTGCGAAAATTCCCATTGTGAAATCCAAAAGGCAATTTAGCGAGCATACGTCTGCTTTCGATAAATTCTCTCCAGGCCTGTGCATTTATATAGCTATTGAGGTAATGAAAAAGATACAGGCAAGTGGATAATTAAGCTGTAGCTCGGGTTTGGGGAGGGGAGGACTGGGGGAGAGTGAAACACCACAATTCCAGTCAGCGCCAGGGGGGCAGGTGGGTCCCGGCGAAGGTAATTACATGCGGGTAACTGGCTTGGTGGCTTTGAGCCATGGCAACTGTGGGACCTGTAGGAAGTTCTTCTGTGCGCATAGGGCCGGTCCGCCTAGCCTGATTGCAGCCGCCTATGCCGTAGCCAACAAGCGCTGCCCAAGTAGTTTTGGATAGCTTGATGGAACCTTGTAAATAACTCTGAAGGCCTCTCTGGCGTCTACTAGGTCATCTGTGTCCACCATGTGCGCGCGGATCGGGCTTTTGATGTTCTTGAACTTCTTCATGTTCTTAATAGCCATATAAATGTAAAGGCCTGAAGTGAATTTATCGAAAGCAGACGTATGCTCGTCAAATTGCCTTTTGAATCTTACTCAATTAATCATTTTTAATCGGAAACTTATTTCATAATTTCGATGAACATTTCATAAAGTCAGTCAACGACTGTGATCTGTTGATCCGGTTCAAAGTTTTTGGCAAGTTCCCTCAAAGTCGAACTTGAATATCTAACTTTGGATATTACGTCACGAGGCATATGTCGGGAATGAATGGGACTTGACTCTGCAATGTCTGCTTTTATCAGCTCTCCCAGCGGTGACGAGGCTCCTGTTGCTACCAAAATCGAACACGTAGGCGGGCTATCTGGGCACAAAGTTGAGAAAATCATCTGCATTCTCCACTACTTCTCCCGTGTGCTTGGTGAGGAGGGGCCGCCGACGGGCGCAGTCACCTTTTCTCGGCGTTGTCTCAACAATCCTCCCGACTTCCAGTTAAGCGAAGTCCTGATTGGTTCCGTCCCCTTCGGCACCAGTTCAACATGTCGCATTGAGGATGCCGGCAGCGACACCATGCAGGCGAGTATTACAGCAGACATTATGTGGCAGAATGTATGCCTAATTAGAGTCCTTTAATGCTCTTCCACGTAGAAGAGACTATTTCGGTGTGACTGCAATACTCATTCAAATGAAACGCGACTCTGCATTACTTTGTAGTTTCTTGAATTCACGCGCATGGGTACGGTGCTTATTATTTATACGTCTGCAGATGTAGAATTTCACATCTGCAGTAGTTCAATTCGGAAATCTTTGAGATTTTTGTCCCTATCAACTACTCATTTTGACAGTTTTCTGCAGTATCGTGACGTGCACCATGTTTCGCCAACGAATGAGCGGAATTTCAAGGAATTTACTTTTTTCAATGCATGATTCCCATGCTTTGTGTTTTTTAGCTCACGATGTGTCTTTTGGGTTGTCATTTCAACCCATATCCATGTGGATATCATGTATATAGACGTCTAAGGATGTTAGATCTGGTGAACTTATGGTCTCCCTGCAACTCCTCCGTCAGACGAACAGTGATTGCGTAACTTTCTACCCTTGGTATAATCAAAGCAGCATTCGTTTTTCGAGTCCAGCTTGTTGGTGGTTACTGAGTCTTCGACTAAGATGTGCCCTTAATTGTGTTAAAACACGGTCGACGCCTTTACTTGATCGGTAGGCGTCACATTCACCTGGTTGAAATGTCCGAGAAGTGGGCCTAACTACGCCAAACGCCGCAATTAATCAAGTGTCACAGGAAAACTGGGGTTTTAAGGTTTCTTTGATTTTGTTGTCTTTATAATTCGAATTTTCGGCGGCTCGGATACGTGACGTGTAGACAATGTTTGCTTTTTATAGCTGCGTACGACGAATTGTCTTCGATCTTTTCCCAAATAACTGTTGCCCTCTTAAAAACATATCCACATAATGTGAATATATGCACTGCTCACTCAGGGTAGGCTGACAGAAGTTTAATCAGAAGCCGGCATTCCACCTTTCATGCGTAAATACAGCGAGAGCATTTAAACATGCCTTCCTATCGGACAACCTTTCTAAAAAATAACAACCAATTTCTTACGATTCTGAACTCCTTTTACCGCATGCTTGCGATCCATTTTGGATATTCCAAAGTGGAAAAGTGTAAAAGCACGTCTGATTCAGTGCAGTATACTAGTTGCCTTCTGGATCACTTTCGTACACTGCTCTGACGGCATCAAATTCGCGGTCGTTAATATGCCCAGGTGTTTGTGTTTTGCACAGTAATAAAATATTCCTACTCGGAATATATACTTTTCGGGTGGCACTGGGCTGCAGGACCATGCACCTAGGTAAATTTAACTTGAGAAGCCACCTACTCAACCAAGTATCCAGTTTGTCTATTTTCAATCGAAACCTTTTTAACTCACCTACGCAGTTGACTTCACCCCATATTTTTACGTCGTTGGCAAACATGACAGCTTCACAATCAAATTCCTGATGCAGGCATTCACATACATCGGGAAGAGCTGTGGGCCTAAAACAAAACCCTGCCGAACACTACTTTCAGCATTGACCGATTCCGTGGTAGAATTGCCAACAAGTCTGTGTACCCTAGGGGACCTGAAGTTTTGAATCGAGTTATACCCCCTTTCCTGAAATTACTGTTTCCCAAATCCTCTATGTAAGGAGAATTATATTTTTAAATGCAGAATTTCTCTGAGAGTTAACGGGCTGATAGTGAGAGGGTAACTTGCTGTGTATAATGATTCATGGGAGACCCGGCCACCCAGTCAAGTTCGATGAGGCCGAAATTCTTGCGAGAGGGAATAACCGCGTGAGCCGCGAGTTGCTTCAGTCATGGTTCACGGTACCTCAGTCTATCAACTAGTTCAACGGCATCCCCACTCCATATTCCGTCCTGAGGCATAGGCTGGCCAAAGTAATTGACCACTCGGGAAGCGCGCAGCCGGTGAGCCAGATGGCCGAGCAATCAACACGCCAGCATCAAACACGGGTGATGAGACTTCATCAATTAACAGCTTGCATGCCGGCCATCAGGCCATTAACGCATCAGCAGGCCAAGATCCTCGATGAAGGTGAGAATAGTTAATTATCATAGATATACAGTAACATAGCGACTGCATCCTATAAATACTGGAACTTCCTGCGCACGAATCAGCCGTTTCTGTTACTGCCTCCCAGTTAAGAGGAGTGTGTACGTGTGTGTTATTGCGTGTGGTACTTCTGCTATGCCATGTTTCGACAAACCATGGCCCTCGCGGCCTGGGTGTTCATTGACAATTCTCTGGCACCTGGTTCTCTGGTGGTAGATGCGTTTGCGCTACCGCTGGGTGTGCAGGTCGTGTGCATGGCCACCCAGTCATCCAATTCTTTTCTCTTGTTGTTGTTGCTGTTGGTCAAAATTTTGGTCAAGTTTTTGTTGTGGATCAAGGGGCGTAGAGTGGATCGCCAATGTACGGGTTCAGTCGCGCCATCCACCTGTGCCCTCTCCCGCCACCGATCATCTGGACTATTTCTTGACACTGAGCTCAAACGGGGAGGAGGAGAGAGTGCGGTAGAAACAACCCAAGTCTACTCCACTATAAACTAATACACGCGCAAGTCACCTTGCCTGCTTCGCCTTGCTGTGGACCACGATAGTTCGACCGTCGCATCCGACGATGTCCACCGTATGCCCCACAACTGGTGGTGGGAGCAGGGACAGTGACTTGTGCAGGGGGTTTATAGTGCCAGTAGACTTGCGCTGCATCTACCTACACTCTCTTCTCCTTCCCCGCCTGAGCCCAGTGTCAAGACAGAGTCAAGAAGACCGGAGACGAGGGAGGCCGCAGGTGGATAGCTCGGACGGATCCTCACCTTGGCGCTCCACTCCGCACCCTCTGGTCCACACACAAATGACCAGGATTTTTACCGCCACAACAGTAGAGGGCGTGGCAGTGATCACAGTTGTTCGACGGCTGTCGACAACAGGGACTGCCAGCGCACCCCCTACATACTGGTATTTGCTATTGCGCACAGATAGAACCTGCCAGAATCCGACGTGGCCCCCGTGTTGGTCCAGAGCATCTAACACGTGGCCCGTCTGGGGGGCGTGCTGTGGACCACACTATGAACATCATCGGCAGCGATGTCGAACTGTAAAAAAGACGAGGATTACTGGGATGGTCATTTCGTGAAGAAACTGTTCAGTACAGCAGACCAAGTAGGTACTGTAAAAGACTTATGTGTAGCTCTAATGAACTTTCCATGCTGACTGATTGAATTTTGTGTATGCAGTAGGGGACTTGTCGGGTATAATGATTTACATCAACATTTTTTTATTCAGTTATAGAAATAGACTGATAGAAGCCTATTCTCCTGCCTAACTCTGGTAGTAATCTGTGTCCCTTCCGCAGGTGGACTTTGCAGACCCTCTCATTGGAGGTGAATTTCTCCGGTTCGGTTGCGTTCAGGAGGAGATAATGTGTGGCATGCAACCGGAAATCCTGGCTGGTCGTCTCTTCCTGGAACGTCTCCTGCCGCATGAAGCCGCTCTGGTCATCGGGGCTGAGAGATTCTCCAACTACACCGGTTATGGGCGCAGTTTCGAGTGGGCGGGAAACTATAAAGAGGCTGATCATTGTAGTTCTCGGTAAGAAATTGTTATTTTTGATAAAATGTTTGCTGCTAACAAAATGGCTAGCTTAAGTGTCCCCTCACGCAAATGTCTTAGAGTCATCTTGTGTGTGTATGTGTGTACATGTTGGCCTCGCCTTGACAGATCTATCTGACTAGTTTTTTGCTACCAGCATGGTGCTTTTTTCGACAGAAGTTAAGATGCAAGTTCCAGGAAGCAGTTCAGAAGAATGGCATGCGACTGTTGGATCAGAACGTTTATTCGCCCTACCTTTCGGATCCCCACTCGAACCCATTACTGAATTTTTCGTCAAAGAAAATTTCGGCACTTTTGACCATTCCTCGAAAAATATTCATCGTTTAGTAGAGGTTTCACAAAAACTCTTATGAATATCTTTTTGAAAATGTTAAATATAATTCTCGGGTGATTAGTTGACGAGCTGAAAAAGGAAGATCGTGATATTCGAAGAGAGTTGTTCAAAGATTATCTCTTTATTAAAAAAACAAAAGACCTGTTCGTAGTTGTCCATGGAACATATTTACGCCCACATTAGGATCTATCTTACAGTTCCCTTCTACCTCCATGAAATCTTAACCGGAATTCTGAAATGCGTTTTAGATTGGGATTATTTAAGTGGGGATGTAATGTTGACCATGTTGCCACGTAATCGCGTGATATTTCAGCCTCCACACTATTTTGGCTTTTAAATGCACTTCTTTCGGTCGCCCCCAATAACCGTGCTCGGTAAAAAAATTGTCACTTTTTCACAATGTACTTTATCGATTTTCGATGCCCTTGTCAATTTAAAAATATTTTGCAGGAATCACGCACATAAATATTCTTCCTTGTACTAATTTGGTAGCGAATCATGCCTTCTTCCAATTTTATATTCAAATAAAGAGTATCTTTCGGTTTCGAAAAAGTTTTTCAATCTCCAAACAACTTTGAACTCGATCTGCCGTTGCACGTTTGTTTAAGGTTTTCGGCTGGCGGGCTGTATACTTTCCATTTAAATAAAAACATACATTCCCATATGCCATTAGGAAAACACCATGAGGCTCATGAAATGTCGCAATAGATGGGGACTATGCCGCATTCTTAGTAAGGAGCATTATTAAACTGCCATACATGATGCCATTCGAGTGTGCATTGCACGGTCTTAAAAAATCTCATAATTATAAACTTTCGTAAAACCGGTTTATACCCCTTCTCCGAGTATGAAATTTGAGTAAGACGTGATTTTCTACCAAATGAGTACCAGAAAGGATACTTTTGTGCGCGTTTCTTGCAAAATACTTTTGGACTGATAAGTTCATCGAAAATCGATAGAAAAAGTGTGTTGTAAATAAATATTCATTTTGACCGAGTGTGGTTGTTGCAGGCGACCGCAAAGAAGTGCATTTAAGAGTCAACATGCTGGCGCGTCTGAAATATCACTGGGTTGCATGGCAAGAAATTCAATATTACAGTCCCAATTAAGTAATTATTCCTAATCGAAAATGCATTTCAGAATTTTGGTTAACAATCTCATGAGATGAGTTACTGACTTTATTTCCCAGTTTTTAAGTACTGTTCGTCCTCATTTCCGAATTTAGGGACACCAATGTTCGGAGGAAGAAAGTTATTGTCGTGATTGATGCTACTCACTTTAGAGACCCTTCTACACAGTTTCAGGAGACCCACCTTCGCCGTGAATTAAATAAGGTTTGATTTTTCTATGCAATTGAATACCATCCTTATATAAAACATGCGTTCTAGCCCAGCCTTTTATAGTATTCTTCTCGTTTTGGCTTTTCTTATTTTTTGAAGGCTTACATTGGGTTCACTGACATGGCAACCCCTCACCAACCCCTGCCGAGCGTTGTTGTCAGTGGCAACTGGGGATGTGGTATCTTCAAGGGCAATAAAGCCCTCAAAGGTATCCCATGTTTCTCCGTCTGCCAGTGTTTATTAAGTAAGGGGGCATTTATTATAGCGCACCCAGCGTTCCGTCAAAATCGACCGGCTAAAAGCAGATTCATCCATTTTTTCCGCTAAAAGTGACATTCAATTTTAAATCGCGAGGCGTTATTTCTTAATAAAGTGGTAACACTCCCCGTTAACTACTGACAGTTTCTGGCGACGAAGGGCCTAACAACTAGTCGCTATTGGTTTTTTAAGCTCGCCCCTGACCAGGGCCCTATTCAGACCGTCTTGCATGCATTTTATGCCTTGACAAATTACTTCTTTGTGGGTATTGCAGCCAGTTTGTCAGGCCTACTTATGGCCAGACAGTCATAAAACAGGTGCCTTTAAAGGGATGTAAATGCCGCGATTTCAGTCAGATTAATTTACCAAAATGCTCCTGATTTAGATGACTACACAGTAAACAGTAGGTTTTGCCTTCTGTTCTTATCTTTGAATCTGGACCCGGTTATTAGGGGTCGGATTGAGCACCCTTCAGAGCAATGCTTGCGTGGTGTTGGGTCTTGTACGGATTGAGATTAGTTCTGTCCTTAGCCCCGCCGTCAGGGGTACACGAAACCCTCGCATATAACTGGCAGATAACCTTTCTTGGCTTGCAGAACACGGTACTCTATACTTGATTGCCAACGGAGGACGAGGATTGGAGGAAGGCTCGAGTCACTTGTTTGGGAGTTTCACACCGACCTTTCATGCCTAATTAGAGTCAGCTCTGCTGACCAGGTATTTATTTCCAATGCCTTTGTGACTAGCTCTCTTTTACTCTGTACTCCTAGGTCACCCCGTAGACTTGATCCTAAACATATGGTGGATGTGCTATCTCATGGAATTTTAAGCGAATTTCTGAACCATGTTTTAGCTTCGACAGGATGGCCTAAATAGGGCTATAATATTTCACTCACACCAGGATATTGGCTTTTTAAATGAGCTTATTTTCGGCTGTCTGCTAGGACTGCACTCTGTAGAAACGGCTACTACTTAAGCAGTATGAATTTCTCCCATCGGTTTTCGTTATCCTTGTAAATTCTATTATATTTTATAGAAAACGCGCAAAAAATACTCTCTGGGTACTTACTTGTTTCTAATTATGAGATTTTTTTAAGACCGCGCAATATCCATTCGCATAGCACCGTACCTGGCCGTTTACCACAGCTCCTCATGAAATGTACAACATAGTCCATTGCAAAATTTCATGGACTGTGTATGGTATCTTTTTAATGACATAGAAATATATGTGATTTTCTTTACGCGGAACGCATACGCCTTGTAGACTGAAATCACTAAGCGCTAATGCAACGAATGATTAGGCTCCAAATTAGTCGGCAATTGAAAAACCTTTTTTAAAACCGAATTATACTCTTTCCTTGAGTATAAAAAATAAGGAAGACGTGATTCTCTATTAATGTCTGAAAGAAGACATATTTTTATGATTTCTATAAGATATATTTCAATTTCCAAGACCATCGAAAATCAATGGGAAAAGTGCATGCTACTTAACTAGTTATTTTTTGGCGAGTGTGGTTTCTACAGGAGATTTAAAAGCAGTGTATTCAAAAGCTGACATCCTGCCGAGTCCAAAATGCTATAAGATTATGCCACAAGATAATCGGTATTACAACCGCGACCAAGTAATCCTTCCTAGTTGAAAGCGCATTTCAGAATTTCAGCCAACATTTCATGAGATCGGTCACTCACTGTGGTTATGGGATTTTTGAAGACCGTGAAATGCCCATTCGTGCAGCACCGCATCAGAACGTTTATTAATGCCACTTATAAAGTGTACAACCTGGTCCACTTCCATTGCACAATCTCATGAATCCTAAATGACGTCTTTCTAACAACACTGAGAAATTGTGTGATATCCCCTTCAGGCAGCATTTAGTTTGGAAACCTTGAATGTAAGTGTAACGGTAGGTGGAGCAAGACATTATTCGGGAGTCGAAAGGTGTTTATAAACTGACGGACAATCCCTCCTCGAGTAGAAAATTCAAAGAAGGCGCAAATTTCTACTAAATGTGAACAAGAGAGAATATTTTTGTGCATGTTGTCAATGGAATATACAGTGCGTGACCTATCTCAGGAAATGTTGGCTGAAATTCTGAAATGCGCTTTCAACTAGGAAGGATTACTTGGTCGCGGTTGTGATACTGATTATCTTAAGGCATACTCTTATAACATTTCGGACTAGGCAGGATGTCAGCTTTTAAATGCACTTCTTTTCAATCTCCTATAGAAAGCGTGCTCAGTAAAAAATGACTACTTACGTAGCATGCATTTTTCCCATTGATTTCCGATGGTTTTGGAAATTCAAATATATTTTATAGAAACCACAAACAAAAATATGCTTTCTTTTAATCAATCAATAGAGAATCATGTCTTTTTTGTATTTTATTCTTAAGAAAGGAGTATAACTAGGTTTTAAAAAAAGTTTCTAATTATGAGACTTTTTAAGACCGCGATATGTCCATTCACATAGCATCGTACCTGGCCGTTTACCACTGCTCCTCATGAAATATACAACATGGTCCGCATCCATTGCAAAATTTTATGGACCCTGTATGATATCTATTTAATGACATAGAAAAATATATGATTTTCTTTACGCGGAACGCATGCACCTTGTAGAGTGTAATCACTAATCGCTAATGCAACAAATGATCAGGCTCCAAATTTTTCGGCAATTAGAAAACTTTTTTAAAACCTAATTATACTCCTTTCTTAAGTATAAAATATAAAGAAGACGTGATTCTCTATTGATTGATTAAAAGAAAGCATATTTTTGTTTGTGGTTTCTTTAAAATATATTTGAATTTCCAAAACCATCGAAAATCAATGGTAAAAATGCATGCTACGTAAGCAGTCATTTTTTATCGAGCACGCTTTCTACAGGAGGTTGAAAAGAATTGCATTTAAAAGCCGACATCCTGCCGAGTCCGAAATGTTATAAGAGTATGCCTTAAGATAATCAGTATCACAACCGCGATCAAGTAATCCTTCCTAATCGAAAACGCATTTCAAAATTTCAGCCGACATTTCATGAGATAGGTCACGCACCGTATATGAATTTATGGGGGTATCAAAAATCAATGCAAAAATGCACGTTATCTAAGTAATTATTCCTTTCAGGATGTTATTTTTGCGGACGGTCAAGAAGAAACTCATTCAAAAGCCGGTGTCCTCACGCGGCTGAAATATCTTAACATTATGCTGCACGATGATTAATCCTACAACCCTACTTAAGCGGTCTTGTTTGTATCGAAAACGTATCTCAGAATTTTAGATAACATTTCATGAGATAACACATCTGTAGTTCGATCGTCTTTGTCGACCATGTCCACCGTGCGCTCCACAGACAGGTGAAAGCGGGCACGGCAACTTGTGTGTGAATTAGTTCAAAAGTGAGAGTAGACTTGTGCAGCACCTATCGCACTCCCTCCTTTTCCCACACTAGTGTCCGTTCTCAAGAGAGTCAAAAAGACCGAAGTTAAGAGGGGGTGCTGGTGGCTGGCATGGCCGTACCCCCACCTAGGCCTACCGCCATGCCCCCTGGTCCACAACAAATACAACAGATGTGCTAACTCATGAAATGTCAACCAGAATTTTGAAATGCGTTCTCGTTTCGAAAAGATAAAGTAAGTAGTGTTGTAAAACTAATCATGATGCACCATAAATCTATAATGAGCCAGTTACCTCAGGGTGTCGGCCTTCGAAAGAACTTATTTTCGGCTGCATGCAAGATCTATACTCTGCAAAAAATGACTACTTAATTAGTATGCAATTTTCTCATTGATTTTCGATGCCCTTGAAAATTCAACTGTATTTCATGGAAAAAGAATGCATAAAAATATTCATTCTTTTACTTATTCGGTAGAAAATCACGTCTTCTTCCAATTTCATACTCAAAAAAGAGTATAATTCGGTTTTAAAAAAGTTTCTAACTCTGAGATTTTTTAATACCGTTAAATGGCCACTCATGGAACGTCATGTATCTGCATTTACGAATGTGGCTTGTGAAGTTAACAATATTGCTCAAATCCGCTGCTTAATTTTATGAACCCCATACGGTTCCCTCTTAATACCGTAAAGAAGTGTATGGAAAGAAAGATGAGTGGGCGTTCACCGGGAGGGGTTTATTTGAGATCCGACGTTTCGGGTAGTTTACTCGTCTACCCATCTTCAGGGACTGAGAGGTCCTGTGCACAGCACTCCTTATTATGGCGCCATTTGTCCAATGCGTGATCTGCCAATGCCGCCTGTGTGGCTGCATCCAACCCGCATGTCACCGTGACTTGAATCGCCCCCGTCGGCCGCGGTGATGACTGACGGCCCCGATTGTCCCGCGCCGTGACTGTCCCCCGCTAAGAAGGTTCGTAAAGTCAGATAAGGGGGAGGCAAATTGATGTGGCGGTTGACAGAGCGGTCGGTGGACATCCAGGCTTCTTGCACTTGCCTTGCTGTGTGATCGCCGCCCCGGCCCACAACCTCAACGGCGTCAAAGTTGAAGATGTGTCCCATTTGCGCGGCATGGGTTGCTACCTCCGACTTTGGGTCCAACCTTCGCACGGCCAACTTATGCTCGTGCATTCGCGTTTGCAGCCGTCGGCCGGTTTCCCCAACGTAGTCGCAACTTCCGCAGCTGCATTGGAGTCGGTAGACAACGGCCGACATCTCCTGCTTAGGGATCGGATCTTTCGGCCGCATCACTTGCCGGCGGATTGTTGAGTCAGGCCTGTGGGCAACACCTATGCCGAGTGGCGCGAGTGATCGAGCCACGACTTCGGAGACCCCTTTAATGTACGGAATGCTCCGCCACGAGTTTGGCTGACTGTGCTCCTCGTTCCGTTTCTTTGGCTGCTTCCGGCTTCGTTCAATGAATGCCCGTGGATAGCCATTGGCTCTGAAAAGTTCTCGGAGGAGCTTTATCTCATTCAGTTTGGCGGCTGGCGTGCTGCAATGAGTTTCTACCCGTCGGTACAACGTGCGGACACAGCTTCGTTTGTGTTGTGGCGGGTGGTTGCTGTTGTAGCTGAGAATTTGCAGCGTGTTCGTCGGTTTTCTGTAGACCGACGTCGCTAGTTCGCCATTTGGTTGGCGGCAGACGAGAACATCCAAGAATGGAAGTTTGTCCTCGACTTCCTCTTCCATCGTGAACTGTAGATCGGGCATGATTGAGTTCAGTACTTCCGCATAGTAGTTGATTTTATCCTGGTCTATGATCACGAAGGTGTCATCAACGTATCGTGCCCAAAACTTGGGTTTGTACTCCTCGAATAGTCGTCTCTCGAGTTTTTGTAGAACCGCCTCGGCAATGAGTCCGGAGATTGGTGAACCCATTGGAGTGCCCTTGATCTGCTCGTATGTGGTCCCTTCGAAGGTAAAGAATGTCTTGAGGCAGTGCCCTATGAGTTCTATGAGATCCTGAGCTGTGGGCTGGCCATCGCCTCCGTCGTAATTTTGACGTAACAGGTCACTGAGCGTTTCGACCGCAAGGGTCTGTGGTATGGACGTGAAGAGTGAGACGACGTCAAAAGACACCATCCTTTCATTCGGTTCGATCGTGACTGCCCTTATTTTGTCAAGGAATTGTTCCGCTGAGTGCACCGTTGTTTGTGAGCCTGCAGTTAGGAATCTTAGCTTCTGAAATAGCCAGCTTGCAAGCCCGTATGTGGGTGTGCCTCGGAGCGAGACGATAGGACGGAGGGGAACATCTGGCTTGTGTACTTTTGGGAGACCATAGAATCTCGCCATAGCGGTTTCTGCGGGCTTTGCCATATACCAGTGTATGGTTTTCCGTACACGGAAGATATACGGCTTGTAGTTTCGAAACCCTGAATGTAAGTGTAACAGCAGGTTGGGTTCAAAAGTATTCGGGAATTAGAAAAGTTTTTTAAAACCAAATTATACTCTTCTTTTGAGTATAAAATTGGAAGAAGAGGTGATTTTCTACCGAATAAGTAAAAGAATGAATATTTTTATGCATTCTTTTTCCATGAAATCTAATTGAATTTTCAAGGGCATCGAAAATCAATGAGAAAATTACATACTACTTAAGTAATCATTTTTGCAGAGTATAGATCTTGCATGCAGCCGAAAATAAGTTCTTTCGAAGGCCGACACCCTGAGGTAACTGGATCATTATAGATTTATGCTGCATCGTGATTAGTTTTACAACACTGCTTAATGTATCTTTTCGAAACGAGAGCGCATTTCAAAATTCTGGTTGACATTTCATGAGTTAGCATATCTACTGTAATTAATCTTTTCGAAACGAGAACACATTTCGTAACCAGGATTTTAACCAACATCAAAGGTGAATCAAAAAGAGAAAAGTCTGACGCAGGTCACTAGGCAACCATGGATACGGCCTGCATGCCCAACAGGAGCGCAAGTGCATCTGCTGGCAGGGTGCCAGAGAACTGCCAACACACCCCGGCATCGCAGACGCACACAATCCTTATAGCCCAGATAGCACATCTACACAATAACTATTTCAGCCTTTTTAGTGCAACCTAGCAGAGCTTAAGATACGCCAGCAAGACCCTTCTCAGCCAAGCGGCAGGACTTTTGGCCAACAATGCTGAGTAATTCAGTGCTTAATCGCGGTCGCAGTCGACGTAATCACGAACGGTTTTCGGAATCAAGGCGACTTTGCGACGCGCAGTCTCGGTCGCGAGAAGGGGCTGTTAAATACTTGTGGTAGTCTGAATTGCCCGATAAGGAGGACCGATCATTTATACAACAGACAACCACAGAGCAGACGCCGATCTTTCAATCAGATTAATTGAGCGAAATAGGCCCGGTGTAGAGTCATATGCCGTGGGCAGCAGCCCGTCACCCGCGTTATTGCCTTCAGAACTGAGGTCAGATACCCTGATCAGAGTGAATATTTTCCAGAGCTCTGCATGCGTGGCGGTGGTGGTTTCCGTCAGGAATAACATTCTTGCCACCAAGAAGGAGTGAACGGGTAGTACGTCTTCTCGACTTTGTAGGAGCCTATGCCGCTGACTTGACGTCCAGTGGAAAACAAAGCTTCAATCTTTTGGAAGCTATGATCCAAGTTACCCTGCGTCTAGACTGTGAACTTTTTTCCGTAGGCTCTGCCGGCCAACGAACGACCAACTGCTCAAAAAATGATGCCTCCCCAGAATTCTGCGGCATCGACTGATGGACCGCACCTCAAGCGTGGAACTTGATTATCCATATGTGTTATGGCAGATTTCAAATAACTCACTTTGATCCAAGTGTGAAAAACTCGGAGCATCGGTGAGATTCGAACCCAGGCAGTAAGGGGAGGCTTTAGTACAGCCTGGTAGTCATCTGGTGGATTCTAGATGTATTGTTTAGGAAATCCTTCATGGGCAGTCAGCTATCTGCGTCATATTAGGTGAATTCCAGACGTTGCAGTTGGTTGGACGAGTAGTTGATCCAAATGTGATTAAACTCACGGCCTCCGATGGGGCCGCGTAACTCAGGTGGCTGGAGCGTTGCTGTACTGAAGCCTCCCCTTGCTGTTATGGATTCGAATCCCACCGAGGCACCGATTTTTTCACAATTGGGTCAAAGTGGACTTGATTATCGGTAGGAGATAGCTCCATTTACTGACGCAAATAAAGATCGTCGCCCGAGGCGATTCTGTCGAGCACTCCATTTCGCGGAAACAGCGGTTGTCGGCCTTTAGATTTTAAATGCGTAAGGACTGGTAAGGACTTTGTCGACAGTTGCAACGCATGGATCTGGAGCTGACTGGCCATGACTGATATAACCATAACTAGATAGGGCATTAGCACTTCTCGCGTCAGAAAAACTTCTCGTCGGCTCGACCTGCTGGTAATCCATCGATCTCCTGAAAGGCCTGCCACCGGCGCGACGAACCATGTAAATATTTATGCAAACAGCTCTAATGTCCTAACTTCCTCCATCCTACTTCCTCCTCTCCCGCACAGCGCTAATCCAACTCATGGCATGTGCTCAGGCTGGGAAATCTCTGGCATACTGCACCTTTGCTGACGAATCCTTAGAAAAGGAACTTCAGCGGATCCACGATAGCCTCGTAGCCTCAGAGTGCACCGTTGGTAAGTACTTGGTGAGGTATTTGCATGTTTCTTACAAAAACTGCAGTCTTTATCCAGGTCTTGTTTGTGTGGGCCTGTGTCTGTTGGTGGCATATAGCGTAGAGAAGGATGGTTTAATCGTTTGAATGTGCGTTCAGCTTCTTGCCTTGGAAGTGCGGCTTTAAAGCGGTCAGGAAACAATAATCGATAGGTCTTGCAAACAGTTGCATGAGAAGCTTCACTCAGTCTCAAATCACAGGTCCTCCTGTCCCTAGACTGGACTATGACTAGCTGACGACGTCAAATCAACCTGAGACGTTGTTTCTTCCCTGCCATGTCTTCTTCTCATTCTACTCTCCTAATCTGAAGTACATCTTCTTCAATAGGCGCACAATATATTTTGCCGTATGCCATCCTTAAAATAGCGAACATGATTTGCGGTATCTTGTACTATTAGGTCTGTATTACTCTTTGCATGCAATTTAAGCACTCCAGTTCTGTAACGATTGTGTCGTCTCAAAATTCATCGTTTTAATTATCAAAGCGGTAACAAAACTGTATCTGGTATTCCTTTTGCAAAGAGACGGCCATGTGTAGGTGTAGGCAGAAAACTAGTCGGCTAAGTATGTGGAGCTTATATTCGTTTACATCTAAGTTTTTTGGGTTTAAACGCGAATAAATTGATAGCAAATTGGTTTTAAGGAACCGGGAAGGGTTGAGACTAGAATACTAAATGTTATGAATAGTTTTTTTCCGGTCCCAAGCATCTAACTCCCACCTCGGAATAGAGGCAGATCTTAGGAAATCTCAGACCTCGTAGATTATACAGAAGCGTGGTTGCACCTTGTAATTCGATGACTTCGGTCCATGTGCGAACGCCTTCAAACTTCCTGGACCTTGTTGCACTTCAGTCTTCGTGGGTTCTTCCATGGCGAATTGTCTGCGCCTGGAACGAACCTTACGAAGACGTAATTATGGCAGGTACAACAGTTCTGTTAGAACAAAGCTCGTAGAGTACCGCTCCGATACACGGGAAAGATGCGCTAGTCTAGTCAGCGCATTCCTCATACCTACCCCTGGCGTGGATTTATGCCATTACACCTTGTTCTTGGCGTTTGTGACGTGCTCGTATGTGCCGCTCCCCACTTCCCCAATGCGTCCCATTCGGTGTACGCTACTGAAAAGCTTGTTAGTAGATGTTTATTTTAATTTACATGTTTGGTCTGTCGTGTTCTCGTAGGATCGACCTTCGAAGGCATCGCCCACCAACCTCAGGCATATTGAACTATATACTAAACTGCTGTAACCTCTGCATTTGATCAGGACTGCTAGTCTATCGGGTCCGCCCTCAACGCCGCCTTCATTCAGCAAGTTGTCTTCTTGGGTTGGGTAGGGGGACCAGTTTACTTTGTCCCACCGACCCATCCCAAGCAGCGGGCGAGTGTATGAGGCAGACTGCATCTTGAATATCCTTTTTTCCTGGTCTCCTTTCGACATATTACCTGCAGGAACTTAAGTTTTCTCATCTATGAGAGCGGCTTACTCCTTGTGTAAGTGCGTGCAATTAGTTTGGATGTCACTTACTTCGTAATTGTCCAAAGATCATAGTGCAGGCCCCGTTGAGCTTATAACATTGATGTTCTCATATACACTGACGGATTGAGGTAACGAAATTTTTAGTCCGTACCTTAAGAATTTTCGCCCACACCTTTTATCGCATTTATGTTTAGGCCGTTTCTAGTGAACAAAAATGATCGTATTCTCTATGATTATGCGACGCTGACCGTTTCTTGCCTTCTCTCTGTCCCGTCGCGCAGGGCATTTGTGGTCAATACTCACATATCTCGATCCTCCCGTGAGGTTGAGGAAGGATAAACAAACAGCCTGCGTCTTTGAACACGTCATGAAAATGCTGAGCAAGCGACCTCGTTATGACTTATGATCACTGAACTTTTTATATTGTTTTTCTTTGCCTTGACATTTTTAAATACATCGACGACACCTTTCCAAACTGTTCTTTTAATAGTTTACGAGAAATTCCTTTCAAATTTTTTCGGCAGATAACAAGGGGATCTGAAATATAGTAAAAATTGGCGATTTCTAAATAAACAAAGCACCTATAAAACACCCTGTGGGAACCACCTCCTATAGTCCTCCAATCAGTGCTTGTAGCTAAATATATCTGCCGAGCCATTTTCGGGACCGGCGAATGGGCGGGTTTCAGGAATCAGTTCAGAGGAATAAGATGCAATCTGTGGAACAAGAATCTTATTGTCCCGACCTTTCTACTCCTCACTCGAACCCACCATCAGAGATAGTCACAGAAACAAACCACTAAGTAGATGTGCAAAGAACGCAGTATTTATCGGACGCAGCCGCCAGACACCACAAGCCTACGGTAATTAGCTGCACCCGCATTCACCATTAGGGGTCGTATTTGATACGATAATTGCGTGTTCTCACCCCCGATCGTTAGTCGTCATGATT